AAAAGATTTACTCCTTTGCAAATAAAATGAATTACAAAATTTCCCTCTTGTTTGTTGGCTTCTCGCTGGCTTTACTTATGATGGTTTTGTATTCTTTCTAGAACAGTTTTGCACCATTTTCTTGGTACTATCTTGATTTATTTGCCTAGTAATTTTTTCTCAAACAGAAAAATAATTTTATCAAGAATATAAATGTTCTTGCCAAAATGAAGGAAATTCATGTTTACATGTTTTTCTTTGTAAAAATCCACCGATAGAAATAAAGTATTTTCCTTAAGTACAGCCTTCTTGCTCTGCTTTAAGTACACTTTGTAAAGCTGGTGAAGAGGAAAGTTGAGGTGAATGAAGTATCTGAGAAGAAGTGGTTTACATGGTCATAACATTCAACTGCTGTCAAAAGAAAAGAGTAAGAAGACAAAGTTTTAAGTACAATATATCATACAACTATAAAAACCTTGCCTCAACCTTCCATCATTTACCACACACTAAAAGTCAATTTCCTAAATAAGATTACAGGCCTTTATCATAAGTTCTTAATGGTACTATTACTACTCATTTGAAATGCTATAAGTACGTTCTCTTCTAACTGCCAACTGTGCTCTATAGCTACAGATAATTTTTTAAATAAAAAGCCTAGACTAGGTATAAATGTAATAATTAACTGAATTTGCTGATGTTCTTTTCATGATCAAAAATAAGAGCTTATTCTAAAAACTGACAATGGGGCTGGGGATTTAGCTCAGCGGTTCGGTGGCCTGCCTTGCAAGCGCAAGTACCCGAGTTCAATCCCCGGAATCAAAATAAATAAATAAATAAATAAATAAAATAAAAACTGACGATAGAGGCAAAAGGATAAATAATACTCCAGGTTTTTTTTCCTAGGGAAAGTGTCTGAAAATTATTTAAAAGAAAAATCATGAGTCTTACATTTCTAAGAAATTTCACTAACTGCATGATTTACCATTACTCTCTATTAATACTACAAAAGGAACAGAGATACACATATAAAATACATACAGACACATTTAAGATTCTTTAAATTGATAATTTGAGAATATAATTTTTATATAAGATTATCAATATATTCTAAATTCATTTAAGTACTGTTTTTTGGAAAATATTATACAAAAATGCTTGAACAGATTACTTAAAACCAAATTTCCAAAGTACTGCTTAAATATCAAAAGAAACAGTGGTAGAATTTTTTTTAGTTAAGAAATCTAGAACAAAAGACATGGTAGAAGAACAAAGGGGAAAGGACTGCTTGTATCAGAGAAGGAAAACTTCAAAGAATGTGTATATAATTATTTATTATGCATCTATATGTAATTATTATTTTTTATTCTTATGTTCATCACCATATCCATTCTTTGAGAAGAAAAGTACAGGGTGGTAACTGCAATGATATGAATACTACAAAACATTCCCCTCCCTCCGCCACAGGCATCTAGAGATAATTTATCAACCAAAACAAATGTTATTAAGAAAACCAAATGAAAGAAAGTACAAATTCTTTCAGACACAAAATCTTATTGATCTCAAACTTTGTAGTGCTCTAAAAAAAAATTACTCTTACTTGGATAAAAAAGTAAAACCATTGCTAGAAATCACTATTTGATCACTAATTCAATCTAGAAATGGTAATAAGATTTTAGAAAATACTAACAGTTGCGCTCGCTTATCTACTATCTCTAATTGGAAGAGAAATATTTTGTGCATTATTTCTGATATTGTGATTTATCCACAGCCAAGCAAAGCTAAATTTCCATGATTTCTGATCCTGTCTCTGATCCTTAGTTTCCAGATCTGTAAACCAGGACTACTAACATCTATTGATCAAGTTTACTGCTAGCACTCAATGCAATGATGCATGTAAAATGCTTACCACAGAGGCTGAGACAAGGTCAAAGTTCAATACCTGTAGACCAAGACATACCACTTCTTCAGAATATCCCTCCATAAGCTAAAGTAAGTATTATAAAGAATAATGGAACTAGAAAGACAGAAACTATCACAGTGAAGGTGAACCTTTTAAAGCTTTCAATGATTAACAGCTTACTGAAGCAAACATGCCATAGGTTTGCCACCACTGGGCCCTTGTGCATGCTGGGCAAGCACCCAACTGCTGTGAGAAGAGATTAGGGCCTGAGCAAAACCAGTCAAAGAACTGGGTGTAATCTGTCAAAGTCCCGAGACCCAGAGTATGTTCTCAGAACACAGTCTCTAAGGTGACTCTGAAAGTCCTGAGTGCTGTACACAGAACCTAGCAGAAGATGCTATTTTCAATTCTTTTACATTTGACATGAAACCAAGCAAGTATACAGTAGGACAGTTTAAATCTGGTGCCAGGCCAAGTGAGTTTTTGATAGGACTGATGTCCCAATGCCTCATTTACAAGAGGGTTAGATGCACAACCAAGAACTGCAGACACAAAAGACTTCTTCCGCACCCCGTGGCCACTCTGCATCTGTTCACCATCCTGCTCTCACTCTGCAGAGCATATTTCTGTTCTAACTTCAATAAATACGCATTCCTGCTACCTTTTTCTGTGTGTCTTGTCCAATTAGTTGTTCAGGACACCAAGAACATGGAAAGAATTTCCCTGAGACGTATCATTCCGATAACTTCACCATACATATACAGAGGACCCTTGATTTATGAACTTGATTGGTTCCTGAGGGCTGGTTGGAACTCAAGTTGGTGGTAAGTCAATACAGCTGAGATCTGGATGTTTATGTGGGTACACACTATAGATAACAAGAGGCAGATGAATCTTCCATTAACCTAATTAATCTAAGTTGTCTGTGTGTTAGGCTGGTCATAACTTGAGGGTTCACTGTATAAACTTATTCTTGGAGTTTTAATTCTATTGTAGAACTTTACATATCCACCTCTATGCAAGTATTACACTGTCTTGGTCACAATACAATTTTACAGTATGTTTACAACACAGAATCTGAGAATTTGAAACAAGCACATAAAAGTAACAGCTCTAGGAAGCAAGCTGGACAGTATTCTTACTCAGGCAAGGCACTGCTTAGAAACACTGTGTAACATGAGCAGACTGCAGTATGGTTCGGTGGCGACTCCCCACAGAGCTGAAAGTCCACATTTTGATAACACCAACCTTTCCTCAGGAAGACACTATAAGCATAGCACTGATGCTTTTCTACTTATTCATATAATTTGCTACTCGACCAGATGTCTATGGCTGTTGTTTAGAAATAATCATATAGCTAGGAGAAGTGTAAAGAATGACAAAAGTTTATCAGTAAAGATGTCATAAAATAATTGTTTAACTTCATCCTGATTTCCATTTTATGAGACCTGAGTGAAATACAAAACCAAAACTTTAGCATTTTGGCAAAGAAAATGAATGAGTCACAAAATGTAAAGAAAACTACAGCGCCTACCCTTAATTCATGAATTAATCTCATTCATTTGTGAGTTTGACTACTACAGAAGAAAACTGGCTTCAGGGCCAGGGATTTAGGTAAATGGTGCTGTATATGCCTCAAAAGCGCAAGGTCCTGAGTTCACTCCTGGTACTACAAAAAAAAAAAAAAAAA